CTGTTGTAATACAGGTAAAGAGCGTTCAGAGGCTTGCGATACTTTAGATTTTTAGCATTTTCAATCGATGATGTTTACTTTGAGACAGCTGGATCGGTGATACTGTTTGCCTATTGAGTTGCCAAAGAACTCAATTGCTAAGTTTTAAGCATTTTTGCAGAGTTTTGCAAGAGGTTATTTGACACGACGTATGTTCTGTAAGCTGAAGGAACAGAAGGATTTGGAACGTAGAACAAATGCTGCAATTGTCATTCAAGTAAGAATTATACAGATGAAATCATATTGAAAAAATGTGATGATTTTCACCCTTACATAGTTGTAGGGTGAATAGGGTCATCGCACTTTTCAAACAGTTAATGCTTAATGCTCATCACATAGTTGTTGATTAGTTACGGTGATTATAAACTTTCCAAATGAGATTTTAGAGTGTCCTCAGAGGGTATATGGCACGATGTGCGTTCCAAAAGCTGGTGGCGGAAAAGGAATTGGAGCGGAAAACACGAGCAGTTATTGTGATACAGGTGAGGAGAGTTCGTTAACTTGTGGTTGTTTAAATTTTGATTGTCTTAATTCAAAGAATTGGGTTTTAAATAATCTCTTCAGAGTGTTGTGCGAGGTTGGCTGGCACGTCGTGCTTATCGAGAAATGAAGAAACAAAAAGAATTGGAGAGAAGTACAGCAGCTGTAATAGTAATCCAAGTAAGAGATTCCGAAAAACTTTTTGAAAATGTTCGAAGCAGTATGTAATCGTACTTACGATGTGAAGTGACTGTATTATTTATATGTTGGGAAATTTAAAATGATTTCGAAATTTTGGAACTGATCTTGGTGAGGATCAAGATTGTATAGGTGATACAATAGAATAAGTGATGAGTGAGAAAAGAGGTATGTGAATATCGTAATATTTCAAGAGTTTCGTACGAGGGTATTGGGCACGATGTGAGGCCAGAAAGCTGAAAATTGAGCGAGAAGTGGAACAAACGACAAACGCTGTGATTGCAATACAAGTAAGACTGAAGTTTTTTGAATTTTATGCCGGAAGCGATTTATGACAAACATGTATTGTTGTTGTTATCGTTCAAAAAACTCAATTGTAAGCGCATTTTTGCAGAGTTTTGCAAGAGGTTATTTCGCCCGACGTATGTTCAGTAAGCTGAAGAAACAGAAGGATTTGGAACGTCAAACAAAAGCTGCAGTTGTCATTCAAGTAAGAACTATACAAATCGGATCATATTGTATCAATAAAAATGCATATTTTTGATCAATGGTTTGTTTTGTTTACGTGGATCGATCTCGATCAATGTGGATCATCTTCCTGATTGCAGAGTTTTGTTCGTGGATGCATGGCAAGACGTGCCTTCAGAGAGCTGGAAGCGAAACTAGCATTAGAAAGGAGAACGAGAGCCGTACTTGTAATACAGGTTGGAAATTAAGTTGTGAAAGAACTTAGTTTGCAGAAAATTTATGGCGTTAGCGCTTATTGTTAGTGAGCGATACACATCGTTTAATGGAACAGTTCATAGTTATGATTAGTTGACTGCTTTTGATGAATAAGTGATAGGCGTTGTTGATGATCTTAGGTTACGAATCAGTTATATTGAGTAAGTATACATTTCTGACTGGTTTGGTGTTTTCAGAGTTTCATCAGAGGTTGTATGGCAAGAAATGACTTCAAAGAATTGAAAACACGCAAGGACTTGGAACGTCAACTGAAAGCTGTGATTGCAATTCAGGTTGGCAGTATTTTAATGGACCAGTCACTTTTTCATAACGCTTTACTTTCTCGAAACTTAATTATGTTCCATGCTTATTCTTGGATTATAAGAAACAAATTTGATTGGCTGAACATAATGGGTATTTATTTGGGTGAGTAGATTGTATTTGGAGTAGTTTTTAGAGTGTTGCAAGGGGCTATCTGGCTCGTCGTTCGTTCCAGTTACTGAAAGAAGAGTGCGAAAAAAAGCGAAGGGCAGCAACCGTAATACAGGTGAACATTTTATTAATATTAGGATAAATTTTTGAGTATGAACTAAATGTGAGTTTTACAATTTCAATCATATTTACTTTTATATTTACTATTTTAAGAGTTATATGAGAGGTTGGGTGGCGCGTTGTGCCTACCAAAAGATGAAAGCACAAAGGGATTGGGAACGCAAAACTGAAGCAGTGATTGCGATACAGGTTAGAAAGTTGAACTTTCTTCTACAGTTTCTGTTTTGGCCGATGGAAACTCAAAAACAATTCAGAAAGATGGTTTTTTTTTCAAGTTTTCATTTCGCTTTCATTTTAACGCTGAAAATTGATGGTAAAGTTTGATTTGTGTTACAGAGTGTTCTGCGTGGTTTCAAAGCGAGATGTGAGTATCTAACACTGAAAGCACGAAAAATATTCGAAAGGAACACCAAAGCAGCCATTATAATACAGGTTAGAAATGTTGAACGTTTTTAAGAATTAGATAATAGATACGTATAAGTCAAGTGATAGCCTGGCTTAGGATCACAACAATAACAACATCAGTGTGTACGAATATGATGTTTTTAAGAATGATGATGATGGTATCACTATAAAAAATATTTTTTGAATTAAACTCAAAGAGATTTAGTTTTGAAGTTTGGCAAAAGAAAAATACTGTTTTCAGTCCTATGTGAGGCGTTTCCTGGCCAAATGCGTATATTGTCGTATGAAGGCGGAGCATTTGAAAGAATTGGAGCGGCGGCGACATCATGCAGCTATTGTTATTCAGGTTTCAGTTCGTCTTCATTCATTCGATTTTTTTAAGAATCAGAATCGTATTCCGCAACAAGTTTCCGATATGACTAACAATAAGCTGGATGATGAACACTTGGACATACGTGATCGGAAAACGAAACGTTCCTTACAGAATCATTCATAAGAGCTTTTCAACATCTGGGTGTTTCATATCTAAGTTGGTGTTGTTCAGAGTGTTGTAAGAAGATACTTGGCTGAATGTCAGTTGGATCGCCTGAGAATCGAATGGAAACAGCAGTGTCGTGAAAAGGCTGCCGTCGTTATACAGGTAATTTGAAGAGAAGTTCCGCTGTTATCGTGATTTCATTTCATGATAATAATAATAATAAATAATGATAATAATAATAAATATTATTGTTATTGTTATTGTTATTATTGCGTTATTATTATCATTATTGTTTTTTATTATTGTTTTACTATTTGTGTTATTATTGTTACTATTATCATTATTATTACCTTTATGAAATGAAATATCGTTTGATTATTGTTTTGTTATTATTATTATTATTATTATTATGGAACAGATTTCTCTTAATAACTCAATATTGAGTTTGTTGATGTGTTTGCAGTGTAATGTCCGTCGATACATTTGTCGTAAACGTTACTTGCAATGGAAGATGCAAAAAGAAATCGAAAAGTCTAAGCAAAATGAAGCTGCTGTTATCATTCAGGTTTTTTTTAATTTCTTCTTCAAAAACTTGTTTAAATAAGCTGAATTTCGATTTTCGAAATGACGATTGAGACAAAAATTTGATTTTTCCTACCTGGAATTTTCTTGTTCAGAAAAATAAATTTGGTGCTGAAAAATCATCATGGTATGATAG